TTAGACTTAAGTTTTAGAATTAGTTATTTGCATCTAAACAATATCTTTTAACTGTTTAATATTATTAAGTAAATGATTTAATAACACAGATACAAAAAAAATGCATTTTTGTAGGGAAATGTTATCTTAGAAATAACAGCATTTTCTATGGCTATCAAAAAGCCCTAAAACTTATACATGTATATATCTAATTGTTTTATACAAAATAAACATTTATCTTGCTTAGTTGTTTCAAAGACTAAATGTTTGCACCTTGACAGTGTTTTTAGACTTAGAATTTTTAGAATTAGAGTTAATTGCATCTGAACAATATCTTTTAACCAATTAATATTATTAAGTAAATGATGTAATAACACAGAAAAAATGCATTTTTCTAGGGAAATGTTATTTTAGAAATAATCGCGTTTAATAAAACATATACATGTATATATCTATTTTTTTGTAAAACAAAATAAATATTTACAACAAAAGTTGTCGTCTTTATAGTCTATTTTGTCTCCTTTTTTAACTTCCTCTATCTACTGCACCGCTTTATGTATCGCGCTTCCTGGAGATCCCGCCCAGCTGCCAACTGGAGCACACGCTCAGTGGAAATTTCTTAAAGGGCCAACTGCACCCTACATGACATGACCAAATTCGGAAGCACGCTTTGTGGAACTTTGCGTCGAGCAATCCCGAGCCAGACGTCGGGCCAATCAGAAAGAAGGGAAAGTGGAACTGTGGAACAGGAAGGGAACCGAAGATTCTCTCGCAAGGGGCGCAAGGATGACACGCAAATTCATGAAGCGCTCCATATTGCTGTTTTACTGCGTGGGTAAAAGAACAGAAATGAAAAAAGACAAATGGCTTTTCACGATTCCAAATGGTGCATGAGGATGGGTTTAGCAAATCGTGGGAGGTGCTGCTGGTTCAACTGAAAAGTCTACATGCATGGTGAAAACGAATGTGGGCTGCTTTGATCGTTTGTTTTGTTGTGCAACCGATGCACTTCCAAAGCCTTTGCTTTAGTGGGAGGCGATTGACCTGTACGACGTGCAAATTTCATTATAGATCTGTAGGCAATTACAGCACCTGATTGGTTGATTGATTTTCAGCAAACCATGAATGAACTGCTTTTGCGAGCGAACAAACTCCTGGTGATGTCATCAAAACAAATAGTAGTAACTGTCAGGACACGTTGTATATGGTTGGTGTTTTTTGAAATTAAAGCAAACAACTCTAACTGTGCACAAAGGTGAACTATGAAATGATCATTTAAGTTTGTTATTAAAATTTAAGTTGCTTTTTAAATTAAATTACTTTTAATGGTTCACTCAAAATCCCCATAAACCTCAACAGAAGGAATATATAAATTAATATATGTAATATCAGTTCTATGAATAAAATATTCATATGTTATATAATTAATAGTAGTAATTAAAGGTTAAACTTTTTTATAAATGCATAATGTTTAGTAGAATTATTCTTAAATTTGTTTGTATAACAAAAAAAAATGCAAATATTTAGCATCTGTTCTATTATATTATACAGATATACAATCCTATTTCTAATAGCATTAATACAATTACATAAAATGAATAATAATCCCTTACTTTGTTACTGGGTATTTTAATCATAGTAACTAACTACTTTGTAACAAATTACAACAGTTCTATTTTGAGAGTGTAATGTCATAGGATATTTGAATAATGTACAGTTTTTGTATTTGTGTGTTGCAGGTGGAGCTTGATGTTGGAGTGTGGTTTAAGGATGAATCCACTGGCATCCCATCTGACGGCAACAGGATAAGCTGTCATCAACTCCAGAACTGGACTTGGAAAAACACCAGAGGTTACTATTAAAATGGACTGCATATTATTGTCATAGACTCAGATAATGATTCTAAATTAAATTCAAAATCAGAAGATTTAGGCAATTTTTAAAAACCAATGAAGTCCTTCCAACACATACAAAAAGAAACACGAGATTGTATTTTATTATCCAAATTTATTAAAAGTGCAAATGAAAAGTTCTAAACATATTGCTAAATCTGCCTGACATAAAAATGTATACAATAGATATACTTTGTACATAATAAAAAACACATTACTTTTACAATCCTTAGTTTTAATATTACTGATAGCAGTTATAGATATAAGAATATATTTGTATACATAAAAAAATACTGCCAGGTCAAGCATGTAGATATAAAAAAATAAATAAATAAATAAATCCTCTTTAAAAAAACAAAGCTAACAATTAAAGTATATAAAGCAACATTAGTTATCACAAAGTAATAATTAAAGTACTTTAAATAACATAATTATATATATTTTTTATGACAAAAATTTTATAATTAATAAATAATTAAATAAAATAATTATATTAAAGTACTTTAAATAACATTATGATAATATATACTTAATAAACATAAATAAATAAATAAAAACAAGAAAACAATTAAAGAAATACTGTAAACTGTAAAACAATAAACTGTTAATATAACATACATTTCTGGAACAAAACAGTGTTACAACAATCAACAAATTAGTGTAAAACACTGTTAACTTAAACAATCAAATGTTAATATAACATTTGTTTCTACAACAATCAACAAATTAGTGCAAACTGTAAAAAAAAAAGCGTAACTTTTGTAAACGGTTAAATTTTTGCAACAATAATTTACAATCTACAAATTAGTATAAAACGATGTATACTCTGAAACAATCAAATGTTAATATTGCGAACATTTGTGCAACAATAAGTGTAAAAAAACAGTCAACAAATTAGTGCAAACTGTAAAAACCTGTAAACTTAAAAAAAAATCAACTGTTATTATAACATACATTTTTGCATCAATACCAGTGTTACAACAATCAACAGATTAGTGTAAAACACTGTAAACTTTCAAACAACCAACTGTTATTATAACATATACATTTTTGCAACAATAACACTGTTACAAGTCAAAAACTATAAACCGCAATATGGATAGAGGTCCAGTTAGACAGACTCGGAGGCCTGAGACTGAGAGCCCAAGAGAAAGTCCACAGCCCTTTTAAAGTCTTTAAAACAGTCAAACGTCTGCCCAGCAAGGTTTGTGGACGTGGAGGCTTTGAAGCTCTCACAGTAGCTCTTCTTTCTGTATTTCTTGTGGCCTTGAGTTGGTTGGCCACACAGAGCACAGATGTAAACCTTCACTGAGGTTGGATGTCCTGAGCCACTGAGTTCTGCCTTTTTCCTCTTGTAGACTGTTGATCTTGAGGGCAACAGTGGCGGAGTGGATGCCTGCGGCAAGGAAACAGCGGGAGGTGCAGTCAGCGGAGTGTGTGTGTGCCGGAGTCCTGCGGAAATTGAATGGGCCAGCGCAGGAACTGGTTGAGCAAGAGCAGAGGGAGGGACAGGTAAGATTTGCGGGAGCCTTTGCTTCAACTTTCGGGTGCCGGCCAGAGAAGTGGTGATGGGATACTGCACTGCAGGCCGGCTGGTGTGGGGTCTTTCCTCTGGAAGCTCCTCAGCGGGGGGCTGGCTGGTGCTGGAGACGCTCTGGTGACGACGGAGGACAGACAGACCCTGGTCGGTGACATTTGTGGCTGACAGCGCCTCCTGTACCTCTCCATGAGACCTTCAGCCATCGGCCTCATCTTCTCCAATGACTCCTCACAGGTGAGAACAGATATGAGGATCTGCCCCTGCTCGTTGGCCACATTGGTACACCACTCTGCAGTGCCTTTTCCATCGCCGGAGAGTTTCTTGCAGATCTGATAACATGCAACACAAATAGATTCAAACATTTGTATTTTGTAGTTTGTAGGTTTTTTTTCTGCACCAGATCAAGAAAGTAAGAGTCATTAATATTCAGAAATGAATTAATAATGTGTTTTTGCATTGCAGCTCATTAGATTTCGGATGCAGAGAATGCAAGAGGAAATTTGAAGTGAAGAAAACGACACACAAAGACGTAGGTAAGTATGATTAATAATCAGGTGCGTGTGATGGTGACAAACAGGATTTTAAAGCACTAGTAAAGCATATTAGATATTAATTTGTTGAAAATTATTTATTATCAAACAATTAATAATACTATACTTATCAATTGTTGTTAATAATTAATGATAAATATGTCCCATGATGCAAAAGTGGACAATAATATTTTAAGGATAAAATCTCTCTGATAAAGGATTTCCTGAAAGAATAACAGTAAAAAGGTTTAGCAATATGTTTACAAACTGACTTTTTTCCATTGTGTTAAATTTACCTTCTTGGTGAAGTCGTACTTCAGGACTTGCCCAAATGTGGACATGATCTGAGTACGGTAGTCCTCGATGTTATCTGCCTCTGACATAAGGAACGCCTTTCTCATCAGTCTGGCAGATGGCGGCTCTCTCCGTGCTGGTGGTCGCTGGAACTGCTGGCACAAACTCCCTAAAAGCAGAGAAAACAGACACTTTGCTGCCTAATCTTTGAATAAATGCTCAAAAGGATAGGAATTTAAAAATAATAATTCTTTCATCATTTGCTGATCCTTTTAATGATTGTAAACCATTATGGGTTTCTTTTAAACACTAAACAAGATATTTAGAAAAATGTCAGAAACCTGTAACCATTGACTTCCATAGTATTTGTTTGTTTTTTTACAATGGAAGTCAATGGTTACAGGATTTCGGCTTTCTTCAGAATGTCTTCTTTTGTGTTTAAAAAAAGAGAGAAACTCATAAAGGTTTAAAACTACTCATTTCTGGGTGAACTATCCCTTAAAGAAAACAATTAACTCTGACTTACGAGTGATCTTCCCAGGTTTGTTGTACTGGCTGAGAAGAGTGGTGTACAAGTCCTTTCTCTGCAGATAGTCCTCGCAGTGGCTCTCCTGCACCTGTCTCCAAACTTTCACCATGGTGTTTCCCTCAGTGCGATCCCTCATCAGGCGGATCACCTGCTTGTCCACGCCATGCCTAGAATCATAGGAGCAACACAATCATTAGATGATGGTGAATCTTAACTTTTATTAGACTCTGAATAATTTTACAATGATTTGTATTCTGCTAGAGACTCACCGTAGCGTCAAGACAGCAGGAAACACCGCTCTGTGAGCTGGACTGAGCTGATTAAGGATGCACTGATCCCATGACAGGAAACGACCAATAGTATGCTCTTCCGACTCCTTTGCAGCCTTTCTACAGGCGTTGCATGCCAGGACCTCAGTCAGCATGGAGTACCAGCCAGACATGTGGCAGATCTGTCTTACCGTGGATGAATACCCACAACGGTAGAGAAAAGCCTTCTGATTGGTGCGTGCTGGGCAGTCAGACCTTGGGCACCGAAGACTGTAACGCCACACACCGACTGGTCTCCAGAAAAAAACGGAGCTGTGAAAAAAGGAGTCTGCTGAGGGGACTTTTCCTTCCACCACTCCAGGAAATTCTGGAGGGTGAAACCACATCCGGTCATCCTTCAGGACTTTCCTCCACTTTCTGTTTCCATGTTTGTCTTTATAAGACATGGCCCTCTGAAAGAGTCCCCTTTCAGCATCCTCCTTAAGCCACAGTATGTCTGCACTGGGCAGCCCATGAAGACCAGACTCCCACATCTTGTGCCAACCCTCAAATAACACCTGGTAATTAGAATAACCGAGACAAAACTGTTAAAATCAATTAAAGTTTTAGTATTAAAGTATTAATTTTTCTTATCTTCACAACCATAGAGTTCTTTGACAGTTACCTCAGAATGTGCTGGGTCACTGTGTGTTGACCCACCAGATGACCTTCTAGGTTGAACGTCAGAAGCTGACACAGAAGCTGATGCAGGAGCCGATGAAGAAGCCGAGGCAGGAACTGACGAGGCTGATGTAGGAGCCGCCGAAGAAGAAGCCAAGGCAGGAACTGACGAGGCTGATACAGGAGCCGATAAAGAAGCCGAGGCAGGAAATGACGAGGCTGATGCAGGAGCCGATGAAGAAGACTGGCCAGGAACTGATGAGGCTGATGCAGGAGCCGATGAAGAAGACTGGCCAGGAACTAATGAGGCTGATGCAGGAGCCTCCAATAAAGAAGTCGACGCAGGAGCCTTCAACAAAGTAAGTATAATAGGTAAAACCTTTTTCATTGACATATTCATACTTTTTGCACAGTCTCCCCATCTATGCTCACAAAACTGTATTCAGGAGTATATACACCACCTAATTGTGATGTACAAATGATAAAATTACAGCAGACAGTGGAGAGTCTGAGTGTGGCTTCTGTGAAAGATCTTCACAGGAACGTTTTCTTCTCTTTGTTTCCCCGGCTCCTAAATGAGCACAGTTATGATTATCAGAAGACAGTGTCTTAGTGTGATGAATTTTATTTATTAATGCACACAGTTGAAGCCGGAATTATAAGCCCCCCTGTTAAATTTGAGTTTATTTTTCACAATTTATGTGTAATGGAGAGGGGACTTGTTCAGGCACATTTCTAAACATAATAGTTCTAATAACTTAATTTCTTATAATTTATCTTTACCATGATGACAGTATATAATATTGGGTCACACTTTACAATAAGGTTTCATTAGATAATGTATTTACTAACATGAACTAATTATGAACAATGCTTGTACAACATTTTTAATCATAGTTCAACATGTACTAATGCTTTATTAAAATAATATTTAATGCTTAGTTGATGGACTGTGAGTTGGCATGGATGACTGTAACACGAACAAATACTGTATTTAGTATATTGTTCATTGCTTGTTTATGGTAGTAAATGCTTTGACATTAACTAATACAAACTTGTTGTAAAGTGTCACCCTTTAAGGTAACACTTTAGAGTAACAGTTCATTAGTTAATATTAGTTAATGCATTTACTAACATGAACAAGAAATTTAATACATTAATTACAGTATTAATTTATCTTTGTTAATGATGTTATTTAAGTTAAATAACGTTAGTTCAATAATGCACTGTGCAACAAGCACAACTTTGGATTTTAATAATGCATTAATGTTGAACTGCAATTAATAAATGCTGCACAAGATTGGCGACACTTAGTGTTAGTAAATTATTTAACTAAAGGACTATTATACTGAAGTGTTACCATATTCAGATTGAGAAAGTAAAGGCTTAACTAGCTTAACACTGTTTGTTCTGTAGCCAATAGAAAAACATAAATAATAAAACAAATAAAACTTTCTTCAGAAGATAATATACTATCCTAAGTACTGTGAACATGTCCTTGCTCCATTACCTTGAATAAATATTTCACAGGAGGGCCCTCAGCTGTAGTTCATGCTTCAACAGTATGAATAAATGTTAATAAGTGACATTCATTATGTGATATACCTTGTCTTTCAGGGAAGCTGAGTGGTTTCTTCGGCAGACCGCCTTTGTCCTCAACTGCTAAAGGAGGAAAAAAAAAACACAAGATGGGCAAAAGTCAGTGTCAAAGCAGCAAGAAGACAATCTCATCAGCACAGTGTTTTGATATTGTGTGTAATTGATTTATTTATTAATAAAAGATTTATGCTATGGTACATGAACAATTAAAGTGATATACACCTTGTGCTTCGAAAGCACTGAGGGCTTCCACCAGTAGCGCATCATCCGCCCATCCACCATCACCTCTAGATCCCGACGAGCTGGAGCTGGCCGCCGCTGCAGGAAGAGGCCTGTCTTCTAGGGGTTTCTGTGAGTTACAGGTTGTAGTTTGCATGAAATGTTGCCAGCATGATATATATATTTTTAATAAAGTCACATTTAAAAGAAATAAATAAAACCTACCTCTTTGTTGAGAATGTACTGCCGGAACCGCTTCAGTGTCTTGACGCTGATGTCCTCCTCCTTCATCGTCAGCCACTGCCGCACAGAGCAGAACGCCTCCTGTGCCATCTTCTTTTCTTGGGCACTACCAGCTTGTAGATCCGCCTGCAGGGTCTTGTGCAGGCTGTACCACTGCCACATCTCCAGGAACGTGAAGGATCTGAAGCGGCCCTGACCGTAGATGGCACTGTCGACGTTGACCTCGAGGTGGCAGGAAACCTGTGGAAACAGTTGCACATACTGTAACAGAAGATCCTTTATATACTCACCTGGGCCCTCTTTTCTTCCTTGATGGCGACGCTCCTTGATGTGTAGATCCAGCACACTGAAATTTCAAAAAGATAATTAATTTGTGTAAAAACAGCTTATACAAATGTATAGCAACATACTTACTATTTAATGTAGCCAACGTCGTTCTCCACCAGCCATTTAAAACTTTGTCCATTGTACTTGCCAAAGTTTAGAATGAGCTGGCCGAGATACTGGACCTCAGATGGCGCACAAGTAATGTGCTGGCATCTTTTTTTAGCTAAGACATAAAATAACATTAATGCAAATAACAGTCTGCAGTGTACGCATATGACAGAAACGCATAAATCAGATATTACCTTCCTCACAAGCAGTTTTTTTTGTCCTGGCTAGTGTTCCGCTCGAAGCACCTGTTGCGAGAGGCCAGGGTCTTGGCGTCCTTCGATGCTTTAAGAAAGCACTGTTGTCTGTCCTGTGGCACACTGGTGTCAACGATGCTCAGGGTGGGCAACAGTGGATCCATGTCTAATTCACCTGTAAGAAGTATTCTTATAAACATCACAAATATAGAGAGGGAATATGGTCTTAGCTCTGAGCTCATGATAAAGTATTAAAAAAACATTTTGTGTGTTAAGTCTTTTTTTTTCCATTTTTACATGTTTGATAATTAACAAATAAATGAAATATCATCAAAATAAATTATCTGACAAGGGTTAACAATGCTGACAGAGATGATGCATTTGACAGTGGCAATGAAAACATGAATTATCATATCAATTGCTCTGTTATACATTTTTTTCAAATGCTTACAGTTGTATTTTGTGTTTTTTAAGGGGCAGCTATTAATATCAACCTCCATATGGCTGATATAAGGTAAGGTAAAATACATTCTAAGCATGTTAAATACATACTCTCATTAATATGATATCATTTACACATATAATACTTGAAATAACATAACAAATCATATTTAATGTATGCTCATTTTCATTTTAAAGCTTATAGCAGTTATTGCTGAATATGTTTTTGTCCCAGGCCTTGAGAATCAGTGATATATTATTCAGTCTATGGCAATAACAATTTTACTATATTCTTATGATAACAAATACAGGTATTGGTCATATGTTTTGTCCCAGTTAAGATCTTAAGATGTTCTTCACTTCTCATAGTTACAACTAATGATAACAATCGCCATGGTAACATATATTGCTACATATAAAGGGATATTTATTTATCAGCATGTTTGTTTCTATATTATAATGAAACATCTGTGTATACTGAGCTATCAAACCGACGCGATCGTCGAAAATAATACAAAAGCTAAACTTTTTCAGGTTTTGTGCAGCCAAATATGCATTTAAATAATATCACAGTATAAAAACAGCTTACCACACGAAATATCTTGGAAAGGTGAACTTTCTGACGGCACAGCGTCACCAGCACAGACCAAACACTGCACAAAGAGTGAGAGATTTCAAACGTGATGTGATCTTAGCAATATAAAAATAGCTTACCACACAAAATCTCTGTTATGGGTGAACGTCTGACGGCGCAGCGTCACACACACAGACAAACTACTGCACACACAGTAAAATATATCAAACGTGATGTGAGCAAAACATACTGTTTATCAGAACAGGATAAAAATAACCTACCACTATAAATCACTACAACAGGTGTACTTTATGACGGCGCAGCCTCACGAACACAGACAAAATGCTGCACAAAGAGTGAAATATTTCAAACGTGATGTGACCAAAACATACTGTGCATCAATATAACAGTATAAAAATAACTTATCACACAAAATCTCTATGACAGGTGTACTTTTTGAAGGCGCAGCCTTACGAATACTGCACAAAGAGTGAGATATTTCAAACGTGCCTTGACCAAAACATAATGTGCATCAATATAACAGTATAAAAATAACTTACCACACGAAATCACTTCAGCATATGAATTTATCTCGACAGCAGATGAACTCTCTGACCCTATAAATTGTGAGCGTCCAGAGCTAGAGAAACTTTAGAAAATCCTCAGCGCTGATTGGCCGTGATTTGAAACTTTAGACAATGCAGCCCTCCGATTGGCCCAGGGTCTAATCAAACTGTAGACAATCGCGGCTTTTCATTGGACAAGAGTCTACAGTCTACAGTTTACATTGCACGTTCAGTGGGCAGATGTCTGCGAATTCCCCAAATGTGGGAATCTCGACTGCATAATTTCTGGTAGTGGGGGACTGCGTTCGCGCTCTCCCCTGAGCACAGTGGTTCAAGACAGAGTTCAGGCGGTAGCGTCGGACCCGGCTGGAGCCAAGTGGTGCTCGCTGCAGAGCCATTTGAGGAGAGCTGAGCTCCAGCGAGGGGGAGCTTAAGCCTGAGCTCCACCTTTTTTGCACTTCTTCTACGAGTGATGTCACTGGGGGTAGGGTTAGGGGCGGGGTTGGTGTACGCATTAAAACAGCTTACAGGAGGAGGAGCGACAGCTCATGCTCCCCCTCGCTGGAGCTCAGCTCTCCTCAAATGGCTCTGCAGCGAGCACCCTCTCGCTGGAGCGGCGCTTCCCTCTCTTCCTCGTCCTTTGCCAAGCCTCTTTTGCTCCAGTAGAGCCGCGCGCGCCTGTGGAAGGCCTGCCCACCCGTCGCTAGAAGAGCCCGTTCTGACGCCGAAAACTACTCGAAAGGTCCCCCCTCAAAGCGGTTTGACCAGGTGAAGGAACACGCAAAGAGAGCCCCCGGTGGCTTTTGTCCGCCAAGCGAGTGTGCCCTGTGGAATGTCAGAATTTTATTTTTACCGGCCTGCCGCTGTTACTGAGGGAACGAATGCAGACCGTGTGAAAGGTCATCATTTTATCTGCCATTAAGTAAGCGAACGCTTCGGCTCGGATCAGAGGTAACTTTGTTTCAAGAACTGCAATCTTTTGCAGACGTCTGTGGCGTTTTGGGCAGAGGGACAGTTCTAAACCAATCTGAACCAGAGGCAATTTCGCAGCCAGCCGTCGGTGGTTTCCCGTCCCAGGAATGTAAGGTGCTTGCAGCGGGAGGTTGTTTCGTTAGCGCTTCCGCTTTCGTCAGTGAAGTTCTTTTGCGGAACGTTTGTAGATCCCGTCGTCTTCTTCAAGCTATGTCGTTTGAGCACTGTGCTGATAGGCTGACGTAAGAAAACAGGACACAAAACATACGAGGCAAGAGTGCAAAGCACGGAGCTCTAGGCAAAGGCGGTCCGAACCGCAGCAAAGCAGGAGGTCGACATGTCCAAATAGACCAAATCAGAAACTAAGCAGAGAAAAACGGCATTTGTAGAGAAAGAAAACAGATGGAGGAAAAGAAAGAAAGAACAGGAGGATCCCCTCCCCTCCCCCCATAGAGGGTCTGTTATCCCCAGATCGAGTGCGTCCGGTGGAATCCATGTGTTGGCAGCCCCAACTGATGACAAAACACAAAGCAAGCATCTGGAGGAAGCTCAAACTCTTCATGCGTTGCCACAGTTACTAGCGAGTGGTTTGCAGGCACAGGCACGTCTGCTACAAGTACAGCGCCGTCAGGAGACAGGGGTTGCTGGCCCATTCCCCATGCTCGGTGGCTGGGCATCACCGTCCTGGAGTACGGCCGATAGAAAATGGCGGCTGCCATTTGCGCCGCCCGGCAACTCATACTTACCTGGCAGGGGAGATACCATGATCAAGAAGGTGGTTCACCCAGGGCGAGGCTTGGCCATTGCACTCCGGCCACGCTGACCCCTGCGAACTCCCCAAATGTGGGAATCTCGACTGCATAATTTCTGGTAGTGGGGGACTGCGTTCGCGCTCTCCCCTGAGCACAGTGGTTCAAGACAGAGTTCAGGCGGTAGCGTCGGACCCGGCTGGAGCCAAGTGGTGCTCGCTGGAGCGTCGCTTCCCTCTCTTCCTCGCCCTTGGGCCAAGCCTCTTTTGCTCCAGTAGAGCCGCGCGCGCCTGTGGAAGGCCTGCCCAACCGTCGCTAGAAGAGTCTGTTCAGACGCCGAAAACTACTCGAAAGGTCCCCCCTCAAAGCGGTTTGACCAGGTGAAGGAACACGCAAAGAGAGCCCCCGGTGGCTTTTGTCCGCCAAGCGAGTGTGCCCTGTGGAACGTCAGGATTTTATTTTTGCCGGCCTGCCGCTGTTACTGACGGAACGAATGCAGACCGTGTGAAAGGTCATCATTTTATCTGCCATTAAGTAAGCGAACGCTTCGGCTCGGATCAGAGGTAACTTTGTTTCAAGAACTGCAATCTTTTGCAGACGTCTGTGGCGTTTTGGGCAGAGGGACGGTTCTAAACCAATCTGAACCAGAGGCAATTTCGCAGCCAGCCGTCGGTGGTTTCCCGTCCCAGGAATGTAAGGTGCTTGCAGCGGGAGGTTGTTTCGTTGGCGCTTCCGCTTTCGTCAGTGAAGTTCTTTTGCGGAACGTTTGTAGATCCCGTCGTCTTCTTCAAGCTATGTCGTTTGAGCACTGTGCTGATAGGCTGACGTAAGAAAACAGGACACAAAACATACAAGGCAAGAGTGCAAAGCACGGAGCTCTAGGCAAAGGCGGTCCGAACCGCAGCAAAGCAGGAGGTCGACATGTCCAAATAGACCAAATCAGAAACTAAGCAGAGAAAAACGGCATCTGTAGAGAAAGAAAACAGATGGAGGAAAAGAAAGAAAGAACGAAAGGATCCCCTCCCCTCCCCTCCCCCCATAGAGGGTCTGTTATCCCCAGATCGAGTGCGTCCGGTGGAATCCATGTGTTGGCAGCCCCAACTGATGACAAAACACAAAGCAAGCATCTGGAGGAAGCTCAAACTCTTCATGCGTTGCCACAGTTACTAGCGAGTGGTTTGCAGGCACAGGCACGTCTGCTGCAAGTACAGCGCCGTCAGGAGACAGGGGTTGCTGGCCCATTCCCCATGCTCGGTGGCTGGGCATCACCGCCCTGGAGTACGGCCGATAGAAAACGGCGGCTGCCATTTGCGCCGCCCGGCAACTCATACTTACCTGGCAGGGGAGATACCATGATCAAGAAGGTGGTTCACCCAGGGCGAGGCTTGGCCATTGCACTCCGGCCACGCTGACCCCTGCGAATTCCCCAAATGTTGGAATCTCGACGGCATAATTTCTGGTAGTGGGGGACTGCGTTCGCGCTCTCCCCTGAGCACAGTGGTTCAAGACAGAGTTCAGGCGGTAGCGTCGGACCCGGCTGGAGCCAAGTGGTGCTCGCTGGAGCGTCGCTTCCCTCTCTTCCTCGCCCTTTGCCAAGCCTCTTTCGCTCCAGTAGAGCTGCGCGCGCCTGTGGAAGGCCTGCCCAACCGTGGCTAGAAGAGTCTGTTCAGACGCCGAAAACTACTCGAAAGGTCCCCCCTCAAAGCGGTTTGACCAGGTGAAGGAACACGCAAAGAGAGCCCCCGGTGGCTTTTGTCCGCCAAGCGAGTGTGCCCTGTGGAACGTCAGGATTTTATTTTTGCCGGCCTGCCGCTGTTACTGACGGAACGAATGCAGACCGCGTGAAAGGTCATCATTTTATCTGCCGTTAAGTAAGCGAACGCTTCTGCTCGGATCAGAGGTAACTTTGTTTCAAGAACTGCAATCTTTTGCAGACGTCTGTGGCGTTTTGGGCAGAGGGACGGTTCTAAACCAATCTGAACCAGAGGCAATTTCGCAGCCAGCCGTCGGTGGTTTCCCGTCTCAGGAATGTAAGGTGCCTGCAGCGGGAGGTTGTTCCGTTAGCGCTTCCGCTTTCGTCAGTGAAGTTCTTTTGCGGAACGTTTGTAGATCCCGTCGTGTTCTTCAAGCTATGTCGTTTGAGCACTGTGCTGGTAGGCTGACGTAAGAAAACAGGACACGAAATATACAAGGCGAGAGTGCAAAGCACGGAGCTCTAGGCAAAGGCGGTCCGAACCGCAGCAAAGCCGGAGGTCGACATGTCCAAATAGACCAAATCAGAAACTAAGCAGAGAAAAACGGCATCTGTAGAGAAAGAAAACAGATGGAGGAAAAGAAAGAAAGAACAGGAGGATCCCCTCCCCCCATAGAGGGTCTGTTATCCCCAGATCGAGTGCGTCCAGTGGAATCCATGTGTTGGCAGCCCCAACTGATGACAAAACACGAAGCAAGCATCTGGAGGAAGCTCAAACCCTTCATGCGTTGCCACAGTTACTAGCGAGTGGTTTGCAAGCACAGGCACGTCTGCTGCAAGTACAGCGCCGTCAGGAGACAGGGGTTGCTGGCCCATTCCCCACGCTCGGTGGCTGGGCATCACCGCCCTGGAGTACGGCCGATAGAAAACGGCGGCTGCCATTTGCGCCGCCCGGCAACTCATACTTACCTGGCAGGGGAGATACCATGATCAAGAAGGTGGTTCACCCAGGGCGAGGCTTGGCCATTGCACTCCGGCCACGCTGACCCCTGCGAATTCCCCAAATGTGGGAATCTCGACTGCATAATTTCTGGTAGTGGGGGACTGCGTTCGCGCTCTCCCCTGAGCACAGTGGTTCAAGACAGAGTTCAGGCGGTAGCGTCGGACCCGGCTGGAGCCAAGTGGTGCTCGCTGGAGCGGCGCTTCCCTCTCTTCCTCGTCCTTTGCCAAGCCTCTTTTGCTCCAGTAGAGCCGCGCGCGCCTGTGGAAGGCCTGCCCACCCGTCGCTAGAAGAGCCCGTTCTGACGCCGAAAACTACTCGAAAGGTCCCCCCTCAAAGCGGTTTGACCAGGTGAAGGAACACGCAAAGAGAGCCCCCGGTGGCTTTTGTCCGCCAAGCGAGTGTGCCCTGTGGAATGTCAGAATTTTATTTTTACCGGCCTGCCGCTGTTACTGACGGAACGAATGCAGA